TAAGTCGATCCTGAGGTAAGTGTCAGGCATACGGGTTCAACCGGTTCACTCTTTTGCTATTGGTCGAATGGGGCTGACCAATAGCAAATGGGATGATTTCGATGAACCGTTTGAAGAACAGGAGCGGACGTGGCACACTAAACGACGCGCATTTGTATCATCACATAAGCGTAACTCAGTATGACGTTCAGACTTTTGGTGCCAATTCCGCTCAGGCGAACTGGTCATGTGCTAAAGCATGGTGCCTGTCGTATATGTGTGTTCTGTATTCACACCATTTGAATGGTTCAACTTTACTGAAACTAACCGATCGCTAACAAATCCGCCTAGTAGTCCCCCGACGAGGTAACCGAGCGAATAACTCATATGTACGTGAGCACGGCTCCAGTTGTTATCACATACTCGATTCCATTCCGTCACTACTGTTTTTTCCATCACCTAAAATCCTTTTTCATCTTTCGCTAACTGGTATTCTGACAAAAATTTTTTTTTTCAAAATAGTTTGCAGGAAGAAAATGTTTCTTGGAACTTTGAGTGAAGTGATAAAACTTACTGATTGATCGTACTCCCACTGTTCACATCTAACCACTCTAGCATCATTACTAGAATAATTGATTGCCTATAATATTTTGCCAGTAATTCTCTTACTCTATAGAGCATGAGAATTTCACTTCAAAATTACCTGCGAAAGAGGAAGATTCTTCAAATGTACATAATTTCGTTCGTAATAATGACACTGATCATGCCAATCCATATCACCGCGTTGTTTATTTTTCACCTAAATCATTGCTCAGGGTAGGCTCGATCTGTAACCAGAAAGTCTCATCTTACTGTAGGGAATGCTATATGAGAATTGAGCACATCTTCCCATGTGTATGAGGTAGAGTTTTTCTCGGCAAAAACTTCAGCATTGAAAAATGGAATCTGAACAAGGAATCGGAGAGAATCGGATGGGAAAAACAAGAAAAATTCTCTTGACTTCATCAAAGAACCCTCCATCTAAATCAGGGGTTTCTAAGATTCTCGTGCCATGCATAGAGAAGCCTCCTTATTAGGCAACTGCTCAAGTCCCACCGCAAAAAGTTTGATCTGAAGCGAGAAAAACGCTCCAAAAGATAGGTGCTACTAGGGTCGCCACGCCCACCGATATGGGTGGTTTAGGGGCAATAAATAGAC